GGGTAAAGGGGGGGAGTAGGGGCAAAGGCAACCTCAGCTGACACGCCACATCCATGCAGCAGCTGCGGGCGGCTGGCTCCGTGTCGTCCCCTTCTCCTTCCATATTCTTTGGAAACCGGGGCGGTTGGTGAGTCGAAGGGCCGCCCTGTCCCCGTGCAGGTGTGACGCGGGTGTGACGCAGGTGTGACGCAGGAGGAGGCAGGTGCTCCAGCTGACCCACTCCAAGGTCCCTTTGGCCATAGATCGGGGCCCAGACGCTCTCGCTCTCTCTCTCTCGATGGCCAGACGCTGTCAGCTGGTGGCGCCGCGGTGGCCATACATCATCTGTACTGCTGTTGCTGTTGATCAGGAGCTGCATCTTGAGTTGCACGCGGGGAGTGGGAGGGAGAGGAGGAGAGAAAGGGGTCGAAAGAGAGAATGGGGGAGAGTGAAGAAGAAGGAGAGGAAGGGGAGAGTGGGGAAAAGCAGAGAGAGGAGAGAGAGAGAGAGAGAGAGAGAGAGAGAGAGAGAGAGAGAGAGAGAGAGAGAGAGAGAGAGAGAGAGAGAGAGAGAGAGAGAGAGAGAGAGAGAGAGTATAGCCGAAACTGCATTGCAACAGGCCCGGGAGAGACTGCAGTGTCGAGCAAGGGACCGCCGTAGTTTGCGTAGATTTGGGGAGGGAGCCGCCGCGGTGCCTTGTTCACGGCGCGCCGAGTTAGCGAGAACAGACGAAAGAGGAGACAGATAGACAGACCGATAGACGAACATAACAGATAGATAGGGAGGCAGGCAGGCAAGCAGGCAGGCAGACCGAAAGACAAACAAACAGACATGCAGGCGGGCAGGCAAAACAGACACAGACAGAAGACACAGACACAGACAGACGACCCCCACCCCCACCCCCCCATCCGGTGTCCCTGCAGACGTGGCGACGGCGGCGGCCTCTTCGCGAGTCGTCCTCCCGCCGTGCCTCCCGCCGGCGAGCGTGGCACCTCATTAAGACGGCGGCCAAGGAGCGAGGGCGGGAGGGTGCCGCGGGCGGGCCATTGATCGGGCGCGTGTCGTGCTCCGGAGACGCCCACGCAGCGTGCCCGCCCTTCGTCGCCTCCGCCTGCATGGGGTCTTCTAGGCGACGGGGGATATAGGTGTTTATTTTGTTTTCTTCTGTTTCTTTTTCTTGGTTTGTTCTCTTGGAGTATATTTCTTTCTTTCTTGTCCCATTGTTCCCTTCCTTCCTTCCCTTTCTTTCTTCTTGCTCTCTTCCTTTCTCTATTTCCTTCCTTTCTTGATTTTTTTCTTCCCATTTTTCTCTATCTTCTCTTTCCTCACCCCTTTACTCTGCTTCCCGATTTGGTCTGTCCATTATTCCCTTTCTTCTCTTTCTGTCCTCCAACATTTTCCCCCTTCCCCCTCTCCCTTCCATTTCTCCATTCTTCCCCACCTCCTCTTTCCTTGCCCTTCCCCTTCTCTCCCTCTTATCCTTTCGATTCTCCCTTTATCCCTTTATTCCTCCTGCATTGCCCGGGATGGACGTGCTTTGTATGAGTGGGCGGGGTGGGCGGGATGGGCGGGTATGAAGTGTGCTCCTTTACTGGCCGTGGTATGGGCGGGGGAGGGGGGAGGGGAAAGGGGAGGGGAAGGGTGAGCGTTGTCGGGGTGAGGGGGAGGGTGAGCTTTGTCAGGGGAGGGGAGGGGGTGAGCTTTGTCGGGGGAGGGGGGAGATGAGGGGGGTGCGAGGAGCTTTGCAAGAGGGGAAAGAGAGACAGAAGGGAGCTTTGTGTTCACGTATTAAGAGGAAAGCTTATGGAGCTCTCTTTGTACTCATATGCGAGTCGTGTGTAAAGAAGAAATGTTCGGTTATGTAGGCCTATACGTAGGTGATACATGGGAGTCGACCCTGTGTACCGAGATGATATAGGCCTATGCGAATCTCTCGGCAAAATATGCCAATATCTCTCATAGACTAGGCCTATACGGGGATCATATATGTCAATTATTCCACACATAGTAGATTAAAATATGGATCTAAGTCTACATAAATATATTCCCATGAATGCGAAGATAATTATATATATATATATATATATATATATATATATATATATATATATATATATATATATATATATATATATATAACATTACTCAAGGAGGCATATGCAGATAAAGGTAATACAGGTTTTCCCTCCGCTGTGATTCACCATGGTGCGGGGGGAGAGGGGGGGAGGGCACCAGAAGCCTCCCGATTATATATCTCATTCCCTCCTCAGCTCGCAGTCTGACGGCGATATGGATCCAGGTAAATCCTCCCAAACAGGTGTGCTCGCGACGACAGACCGAGAGCAAACAGATGGAGGGTCGTGTGTGTGTGTGTGTGCAGCTTCTACCGGGAAATTTGCGGGGCGGGGAGGGATGTGGGAGGGTGAGAGGGAGGAAGGAGGGAGGGAGGGTAGGAAGGAGGGTAGGGAGGAGGAGGGAGGGTAGGAAGGAGGAAGGAGGGAGGGTAGGGAGGGTAGGGAGGAGGGTAGGAAGGAGGGTAGGGAGGTGGGAGGGTAAGGGAGGGAGGAAGAGAGTGATGAGGAAAGGAAGAGCGGGGGACAGGCGAGGGAGGAAGGGGAAATGTAGAGGTGGGCGGAAGAAAGAGAGACGAAAAGGAGAAGAAGGAAAAGAGGAAGTCAGGAGAAAGAAGGACGAGGAGGAAAGAGGAGTGAGGAAGAGAGAGAGAGAGAGAGCGAGCAGGAGGGGATGGAAGGTAGGCTAGTAGGAGGGAAAGAGAGAAAATGCGAACTGGGGTACGAGTGAGTCACAAAGAGAGCAAGGAATATCGAGTAGGACGGACTTCAGGTGGAAGAGAGAGGGAGCCAGGGAGGCAGGGAGGGGACGGAAAGAGGGGGAGGCAGAGGGAAGGAGAGAGGGGAGGCAGGGAGAGGGAGGAGAGAGGGAGGCAGGGAGAGGACGGAGAGAGGGAGAGGGCAGAGGGAAGGAGGGAGGGAGGGAGGAGGGGGAGAGAGGGAGGCAGAGGGTGGGAGGGAGGGAGAGGGAGAGGCAGAGGGAGGAGGGAGGGAGGAGGGAGGGAGAGGGAGAGAGGGAGAGGCAGAAGGCAGGAGGGAGGGAGAGGGAGAAGGACGAGTCAGGGAGGGAGGGAGACGGGGAGAGAGAGGCAGGGAGAGAGGGAGAGGAACGCTGGGAGGGAGAGGGAGCGAGAGACAGACAGACAGACAGACAGACAGACAGACAGATATATAGAGACGGATAGTAAGTCAGTCAGACAGACAGACAGTCAGTCAGACAGTCGGCAGTTCAATTGGTTAATCTAATCAGCAATCGGCTAATAAGTCAAGCCTGTGATAAGGTGACAGAAGGCGAAGACCCGAAGAGCGAGCGAGTAGTGTGGGCTGGAACGTGTTTCGACATGTTTTTTTCCTTTCGCTTTTGTCCGATCTTTTTCCTTTTATTTTTCTTTTCCTTTATTGGAATTTGTGTTCTATTCTCATTGTTTGCATGTTGTGGCATATTTTTATTTATTGATTTTTGTTGGTGTGGTTTGAATTTTATTGATATAATACTTATAAATCGTTTTATTTATGATAATTACCTTTTGAATTAATTACTTAATTTTGTTTTTACTTACGGTCTTGTTTCAGTTAATAAACAGTTATGCTTAATTATCATGGATAAAAGAATGACACTAAAGAAGAAAATCAGAAAATCATTAAAAATATAAAATAGATAGGCCTATCTAAAGGCATCTCTAGGAATTTCCGGGATCCCGAGATGGCAAAAGTGGCACAGATTCGACAAACATCTAACTCACTCGCTCGCTCGCTATTTCTCTTGTTTTTTTTTCTGTCTCCTTAATTATCTTCCTTTCTCTTTCCCTTGCTTCTTTACAGTTTCTCCCTTTCACCCGACTCTCTATCTATCTCATATATGTATATATATGTATGTATGTATATGTATGTATGTATGTATGTATGTATGTATGTATGTATATTATGTATGTATGTATGTATGTATGTATGTATTATGTATGTATGTATGTGTGTATGTATGTATGTATGTATGTATGTGTATATATATATTATATATATATATATATATATATATATATATTATATATATATATATATATATATATATATATATATATATATATATATATATATCACCTACCTTCCTCCCTCTCCCAGTTCCCTCTTTCCCCGGAAATTGCTTTTAAAGATCGAAATAGAAAGAGCGAGAAAATGAAACCTATAGGCCTACCCTCGCCCATAAATTCCAGTCGAGTCTCTAAATACGGATTAATAGAACGTTGGTCTTCATCTTAAGGCCGACGTAAGGGTCATTAACATATTTAACCTGCGTGGAAGGAACGACCTTAATGCCCCGGAAAAAGCCACTTGTCGGATCGCGGTTTTAGCTCCGGCATTTGGGCGGGAAATTTATCGGACGCCGAGAAGGTCCGCGCGGCTTTGAGGGCGCCTGTCCTTTGTCTAAGCCTTTTTTTCTTTTCTTGTTGCTTGTTTGTTTTATTTGGTTGGTTGGTTGACTTTTTTCGTGGGTTATTATGTTCTTGTTATTGTGTTTGTTTTTGGGATTGTAGTTTTGATTTGGATTTTTTCCCGCATTTTTTTTGTCATGGTTTCGTTTTGTTTTCCGTTTTATAGTCGTATTTGAGCCGTATTTCGTTTTCTTTGTTGTTATCTTGGTTTCTGCTTTTGTTATTCTTTGTTTGTTTTTGGTGTTTTTCTTAGTTTTGTTTTTGATTTTCTTTATTTTTTTTTTTTTTTTACTTTTTTTCCTCATTTGGTTATTTTGTGTCATTTTACACTTTCTCTTTCTCTTTCTCTTTTTTTTCTTTTCGTTATATGCCTCCTTTACTTGTTTACTTTCTTCCGCCCTCATTTGTTGTCTTTATCTTCCTCTTCCTTGTTTCCATTGCACTCTATGTGTGTGCTTGCGTGTGCGTGTTCGTATGCTTGTTTGTGCATGTACATGTATTTGCGTGTGCTTGTATATGTGCATGCCTATGCGTGCGTCTATGTGCGTGCGTGTGCGTGTCCATGTGCCTCCGAATGCGTGTGCGTGTGCTTCCGTATGCGTATGTCTAAGTGGCTCTGTGTGCATGTGCTTGCCTATGCGTGCGTCTAAGTGCCTGCGTGTGTGTGTGCTTCCGTATGCGTGCGTCTAAGTGGCTGTGTGTGCATGTGCTTGCCTATGCGTGCGTCTGAGTGGCTGCGTGTGCATGTGCTTGCTTATTCGGGTGCGTCTAAGTGCCTGCGTGTGTGTGTGCTTGCCTATTCGGGTGCGTGCGTGTGCGTGCTTGCGCGTGGGTGAGCCAGACGCAGGCACGAGCAGCGGCCGAGGGAGCGACGCGGC